CGCCGGATTTCACATACCTCCTTGCACAAAAACGAATATTGTTAATAGTTTTCAATCCCATTAATTTTCACATACCTCCTTGCGCAAAAACGAATATTGTTATAGTTTTCAATCCCATTAATTTTAAAGAACTCTGTACTTTCAATTTTTAAGTTTTGTATCTCAATACATCCAAAATTTCAAAACATATCTTAAATCATAAAAATTTTAAATTTTATATCTTTTAAAACTCAAAGTTAATTTTACTTATTTTTTACCCCAAATAAATATTAAAAAAACATATCCTTTTTTATCACTATTTCTTATTAATTTTTTTTAAATCTCTTTACCTATTTTCCCTGTCACTTTCTCTACTCCCGTATCTCTCTCTCTCTCATTAACAAGTCACTTTCTCTGCTCCCCTATCTCTCTCTCTCCCATTAACAAGACGGAAGGTGAATATTAGAGAGAAAAATTTGAAAAAAAATATATCAAATAATGAGAGGAAGGGATCAGAAGGAACGTGTTTTTTTATATTTATTAAGACTAAAAAAATAAGTAAAAATAAGTAAAATTAAAAGGATTAGAAGATATATTTTGAATCTTCGAGTAAAAAAATAAATAGAAGGCACAAAGATATTTCCCCTTGATTTTACACTAACCCCATACCAGGCCAGGTTACAAACAAATGAAAAGAATTAGAGAGAAAAATAAAAATAAAAATAAAAAAATAAAAAAAAGCCCAAGCCCTAAACTTTTTTAAGGTAGGGCCCCTAAAGTAGCAGGCAAGCCACCATGCCCATCGCCAGCCCGATATACAACAAAGATTAGATTAAGTAGATAGCTTCTTGAGATTTCCTTTTCACTTCTTCTATAAACAACAAAGATTAGAATGAGTAGGTGGCTTATTGAGAATTCCTCTCACTTCTTCTATAAAGATTAGAGATTTCAAAAATTCAAAAAGCTCCTCTTATCTTTTCCTCTTCCAATGAAAAAATTTAGAATTCAGTTAAAGCAATGAAATTGAAAATAAGTGCTTCCAAGGAATAAATTCAGAATTAAGTTAAAAGCAACAAATATGAAGTTAACAGCCTCCTAAGATTTGTGAAAAATGCCACTGATTTGTTTTTAAAAAATTACACGATCAGATCATTTACCTTTGATAGTCACATTTACCCTTATAAATATCTAATAGCTTAGGTATGTTACGATAAAATTTCATTTGAAGTTTAAAGTTGGTCAATGGAACAAATACAACCATCTAATTTTACATCTAACGGTCAATATTAACTGACCACCTTATCCAAAGATCACTGTATACTTTTCCTTTCTTAAAAAAAATACGAACCAAGTGAAAATAAGTTTCATGTGAGACAACAAGCTAAAGGAGTTAAGATGTTATTTCCAATAGACAATGGCATCACACTAAACTAGGGTTTCCCTTTAAGTTTTGTAGATAACTAATATCATGCTCTGCCTTGTTTTGGGAAATGTTGTAAAAAAAAAGAAAAAGAAAAGCTCAACAAAGTCTCCATCTTTCAATTTTCTAATTGTTTCTTGCTCTCCTCTGCTGTGTTTGCTGCATCAACCTGCATCTTAGCTGTGAGCAAATCTGCCTCGGAGGCTTCCTTCTCATCTTTGGCCTTCATCTTCCGCACCTACATGAAAATTTGCAAGTTGTTAAGACTATAGCATTCGAAAGGAAACGAAAAACTAGAAATACTATTACAAGTTTAGTTTAAAATCAATAAATATTGAAATAATAATAGAGTAGAATAACAAATTAAGATTCGTGTAGCAAATCTCAATTAGTTGAAAGAATACTTAAAAATACTTTGACGACGGCGGTGATGAATCAAACAAAAGCTTAGAGAGATCAAAGAAGTGATGAGAGGGAGAAGGAAAAACCTGGCCTAAGATGGTTGCCTTAATATAGCGAAGACCCTCTGTAAAAGAAGCTGAGAAGGCCAAGGTTTTGTTCTTCAAGCGCTCCGTAAGTGATACCTCACCTCTGTCCATGTCTGCAATCAATTTTAAGCAACATGTTTTGAATTGAGGGTTTTTAAAAGGAAGAACGGCGGTTTAACAAAAAACAGCCCAAAACATTGTGCATATGCTATGTTCCCATAGGAGCATACTGTGTATCTCCTCCCTCGCTCAAAACTCCTGGTTAGTCTAAAATTTTGCCATTTAATATTAAATTTTTTGAGATTTAGATCTGTCCCTTCAAAAAAATTGAACGGTCTCTATTTAATTTTGAGACAAATTTTTTCTAGTAAATAAGAATTTATTTTGAAAAGCCATGTTACAGAGGCTATTTTAGTTATAAAGATTACATCCCCAAATTTGAAATCCGAAATATATCCGTAATATATATTCTCTGAGGGAGGAAATGAATAATATCCTCCCGCGAGAGTAACAAATCTTATGGTTAAGATAAAAAGGGCAGAAGGGAGATGTGTAGATGATGCCCGTGTGTTGCTGCCACGCTTACAATATCTGATGCCATGTGGACGGAGATCTAAGTTTGTTCACTAGTATCAGGAGGAGCCACTTGGCTCGTTAGGGGTCGCAACCGGCCACGGGTAGGGTTTGGGTTCGGTTATGGATCTGGGTCCGGGTTTGGATAGGAATGGAGTCGAATTCGCCGATCTGGATCCTCCACAAAAATTAAAATATCTATGTATTCAACTATATTTATATATAATTAATATATTGAAACCTATAGAACCAAACCCATACCCAATAGTGTTCGATCCAAGATTTAGATCCGAACTTGAGCCACTGGGTCTAATTTTTAGACCTATACCGATATTCAAATCAGTTTTACCCCTCGGATCCTGAATCAAACCCGCGTCCATTGCCACCCCTATTTGGCCAATAGATTATATGATCCGGTGGGTCCACAGTCCCTCGGATAAAAACCCTAGAAGTATGTTGGGGGGTAAGGTTGTAAAGATGTAAACACAAAATATATAGGTGGGTTAAGGAACACATAACACTGTAGTGAATTTTGTGGCTTTAATTATGAGTTGCTTAATAGAATTGGACCGGTGAGATCTAAGATTGATCAACGTGCTTTAGGAATAGAAGACGGGCAGACTCGAACAACGGCATATCAACAAGCTTTAGGAATTAGAAGGTAAAAACTAGAAAACCTCATCGATAGACTTCAACAACGGACAAAAGGAACTTCAGATCTTTGCTAGAGCTAGGAAAACAATCGAGACACCTAACAGGATGAGAAGGGGCTTGAGAAATCCAATATAACTATTCTTCAATGGTGCAAATGTGATATCGATTCAATAGCTTGCAGGCAATAACATGATCAAGCAAAGCATCAAACTCAATCACATGCGTACATATCTAGCTCTCATATCATGTTAGAGTTTTAGGTTTCTCCGAAGAGATTTGTCTGTGTCTATTAATGTATGGATATATAAACTTGCTTATATAATAAAAAAACAAATGATAAGAATATAAATAAATTATTGATACCTATACTACACCTACACTTACTATAAAATACAGGATACTTCCCCTACCGTTATTGATTATGATACACACCTTCTAAATACTAACCCTGTATACAATGTACACTTTTCCTTAACAATCTTTACCACAAATAGCTGTATGGGCCTCGACCAAAGAATGCATTGGCACTTTATGAGCTGCCATTATTCTCAATGCACATGATGCTTCAACTGACCAGAAAACTGATATTATAAGTTGCCAATGGATTCCCACCCCACAAGGAAGATCAAACTTAACTTTGACAAAAGCTCCATGGGTAACCTCAGCGCCGGCTAGTTGCAGAGGGGTGCTTAACGATTCTAATGAAACCAGCATAATTGACATACTGTGTTCTCTTGCAGGAGCAGAACCATAAGAGGTTGTTATGCTCTGTAAGGTGAATGAAGACCTAATCATTGAAAGAGATTATGCAAATGTGATTGCTTGGGGCAAATGAGGCCAACAAATTCCATGGTGGCTCATCCCCATATTTGATCAGACTTAAGGACGGTCTTATCATCAATTTTTGGGTTATTTCCTAGTGTAAATCACTATGGAATGCGTACTTACAACTAGGCTCCTTTCCACCGTGCCATCGGATAAAGATCCAACCATTCGTTCACTAGAACGAGTGGCTGATGTGGTCTTGGGAAACACCACATTCGTAGTCCATTGGACCATGGTGACAATATTCTTTTGGACACGGTTTTCATGAGTCCATGTAGAAATGAGTCACCTCTTAAAAATCTATTTTTGAGATGGATTTTTGGACCTAATTTTTAAGGACATGTACTCTAACATAGAGATCATGAATGTGAACAAATAAATAAATTTAAAAAATAGTAATTATATTAAAAATTTAGATTGGTAGTTTCAATTATTTTTATCTTTAGGATAGATGTTTATCTTTAGGATATATGTTTTATACCTTAGGGACCACAAATGTAGAAATGTAGTCGCCACGGCATGAAACAATTTTCGAAAAATTGCACGTACCCCCAAGCTAGGACTTTCTAAACAATTTTTTTTATCACGATTATCATCCAAAAGCAACCTTTTCTAGTAAATACCCCCACTCAAAAAGTCATAAATTTTAGGACCAAAATATCCTCTTTCTCTTTTAACACAAACTACTTATCTTTTCCCATAATACACACGAAAAGACGTTCCGATAGTATAAATGAGCGGTACAACACTACCAAAGCGAGGTACGACAATAGGCCAATACAATCCACGGCACTGCCAAAGAGCGGTTTGACAATAGGCCTATGTGGTCCGGCGATTGGCCCAAAACGCGGTCAAGTACCTATTGTGTAACAATGTGTGGCATTCTTTCTAATTGTTGAGCATCTTATGGGAATGTGCCGTGATAAGAGTATTTTTATCAAAAAAAAATAAAAAATAAAAAATAAAATAAAAATAAATAAATATTTTTTTTTCTTCGAGTTATTTGTTAAAAAAATTTGTTTTGTGGTAAAAATTGCTTAGAAAAGATCGGTCGGGGGAGTCCATTGGGGTATCTCAATTGTCCCAACAATTTCCCAATTTCTCTTTGCATGACAAGTTACCGTTGCACCGGTTATTTCAGTATGAATAAGTACAGAAAATGGCGGTTCTGTAGCGCCAACAATGACAGACACAAACCCTAATTTTCACTGGTTCGAGCACAATTCCAACCATTCATGGCCAATTATTCAATCACAAATATCAGGTAGTTTATCACGCTTATCTCCTTTTTGAATCTCATTCTCTCAACTTTTTTCTTTCAATTTCTCTGGCGGAGTATCTGCCTTTCTCCCTCTCCCTCCCTTTCTTTCTCTCTCTAAAGTTTTTTCTGATCATATTGTTCTCTCTCTAAAGTTCATCCGTTGAAAGAGCTCATTGAGCTGTTGATGGGATCAATTCAAGAGAATCTGGTTCTGAGTATTTGTATTTTCCTTAGTTTTGATAGTGGGTGTGCTGCATTGTTGCGTGTATAAATTTGGAGAAAACTGGGGAAGTTTTTGAACAATCTGCTTATATTATAGGCACCATTCTCCGTTTGCTTATTGTAGGGATTGGAAGTTGGGCATTGTGTTTTGTGCTTTCCGCAGTTAAAGCACTGCAATGTCATATTCAGGCTCTAATGGTTCTCCAATACCGCAAATATCTCATCAGTTTGAACTTGAGGGAGGATTGAAGCTGCAGGTTGGAGAGAGAGAGAGAGAGAGAGAGAGAGAGAGAGAGAGAGAGAGAGAGAGAGAGAGAGAGAGAGAGAGAGAGAGTGTACGTCGTACGTTACGTTACGTTACGTTTAGTTTACGTTACGTTACGTACGTAACGTTAAGTTAACGTTAAACGTTA